AGTCTGTGCTGTAGACAAGATATACATAGAATTAGCCAGCAAGCTACTTGGTTACACACTGTTAACACCCTTACAAACATCGGATTTTTTTGGTTAGTTACCATCAGGAGAAAGTGCATGGGCTAAATCACTATTGCAAGGAATAGTAATATTCTTAGTCTACATCCTGATAGTATTAAGCATAATAAAATTTATCTTCTATTGTCTTACACACCTAGAAGACAAAGAAGGCCTTGGGTTAAAATGTTGATGTACATTGAGCCTGCTCACTCCGGCAATGCCATTGATGAGAACATCGCTCTTACTTAATAACCTGGTGAAGAACCAGATGGTATCCGGTGGAAAACCAGCACCGTGAATTTAAAGATCCCGCCATGGCTGCCATCTAGGAGCTCAGCTAAGTCCTGGTATCGATCATCAATGTGTTACCTCCAATCTCCAATCAAAAGGAGGGAATGATTTAGAAATAATATTGGAGTTATTATTCCCTGTCCTTGAGCATAGAGAATGTGACCCAGGTGGAGCTGGGCTCATAAGGACTCACAAGGACACATCAACTGGGCCCTGAGGTATAAAGACAACAGCTAAGATAATCTTGGAAAATATCTTTTAGGGATACTTTCAAATAAAGCCAATCAAACAGAACACAGACGACTTTCTACTCTTATCTTTTTCTGTTAGCATTTAGTGAATAGAAATTTGTTGGACCAATGAAGACCCTCCTGACTGTCATTACTAAAACCTGTACCAGTGATTGTTAAGAAAGACGATTCAAAATGTAGGATCACAGTTTCTAGCCGATCTCTGAAAAGGTGAAGCTTTCAATGGTTTTGCCCATTTGTAATGTTAATATATACTGATGGCTCTGTAACTGGTCTTTGGACTCAGGCAGACATGGCTGTGGCAGCATGCTTGTCCGTTTTCCCTTTCTTGCCTATTCTGTAATATCCTTTGTACTTGGACAGACATGGCTCTAGCAACATGCTTGTCCGTTTTCCCACTGTTGTCTGTTCTGATATTTCCTTGGACTCAGGCAGACATGGCTGTGGCAACAGGGTTGTCTGTTTTCCCACTTCTGCCCTTTTGAATACATGCTGAATAAAACTTTCTTTTTGCTTTACTAGACTTTGTGATGTTTTTCCCCTACAACAAACAATTGCCTAAAATCTCTTGGAACCTAAATCAAGTGTCTAACAAAAGGCAAAAGTTTAGAGGGCTTAAAAGGTGTCAAATGTAAAAATATAGGGATATGCTGTTTATTCCCTGTGGATGTAATTAAAATGCAATGGCAGAGAGATATATTTCTGTTTTAGGTTGTTAGGCTAAAAAAGCAGGTAAATTACACAGCTATGTTCCATAAAGGGAAATTTTTTTCCACTGAGATTGCTGAAGACCAGATGCAGATATTACTCATGAGTTTGGAAAAGCATAGGAGCTTAGCACTTGAAAGGAGGGTATCTTTGTCATCTAGTCATCTAGCACTGCTATAGCAGGAATACCACAAGTGGATAGCTTTAACAAAGAGAAATTTATTTTCTCACAGTTGAGTAGGCTACAAGTCCAAATTCAGGGCATCAGCTCCAGGAGAAGGCTTTCTCTTTCAGCTCTGGAGGAAGGTCCTTGTGATTCATCAGTTTTCCCTTGGTCTGGGAGCATCTCAACACAGGAACCTCAAGTCCACAGGGTATGCTCTGCTCCTGGCACTGCTTTCTTGGTGGTATGAGGTTCCCATGTCTCTTTGCTTGCTTCTTTTATATCTCAAGAGATTGACTTAAGACACTACCTAATCTTGTAGACCTCATTAGTATAACTGCCACTAATCCATCTTATTACATCATAGTGAAAGCATTTACAACACATACAGAAATCACATTAGATGATAAAATGGTAGACAATCATACAATACTGGGAATCATGACCTAGCCAAGTTGACAGATGTTTCTGGGGGACACAATTCAATCCACGACAGAGGGTATCTAGCAGTAGCCAGAATAGTTTGGGAAGCTTGACCCTTTTGCACAGAACAAGCTTGTTGAACGTCCATCCTCCCAACTCCAACCACTGTAAAACACATTCCTAGATTGGAATGCAACCTGTGTGAGAAAGGACTGGGAGGAGAGATTTATAGAGGCAGATAAGGGAAGAAGTGCTTTCTGTCCCTGCAAGCCTCTTTCTGGTCACTTGTCCTCTTCTTGAGGACAGAGCCATTAAGAAGAAACGATGGGTGTAAGAGCTGAATAACAAAAATCCTGCAAGAATGATCATTAGACAGCCTAGTGATTACGTAAGCTTACCCCTACAAAAATTCCTGGCATCACCTTGTAGTCAATGGCATACTCAATAAAGGCAATGACTAAAAGCCCACTACAGTTCTGGGGGCATTATTACCAGAAGCTTAGTCTTTAAGAATAAGTACCTATGCTCAACTCATACCAACATGGTGGAGTCCTTGCCTCTTCTGCAGGCTCCAGGCTTAACTGAATAGGATGCTGGCACCAGACAGTAAGTACTTACTGAAGTGGAGAGAGGACTCCTCTCGAGAGTACCTCAGAAGAGCAGGTCTGAAGGACAAAGAAAAAAGGAAATCCTCCTAACGGGCATGTCATAACACTGCCAGACATAAGAGCTTATTTTACTGCCAAGGGAGTCAAGAAACAGACTCATGGTTTCTTTCCTACCTCCAAGCCAACCTCCTCTCCTAATTGGTAATTTTTATTGAAGTTTTTCCTACTGTATTGCTGGTGTGCTGGTAGTAAAATGTGTCATTGTACCTAGAGGACATGATTCTGGCAAGATGGTGACCATGTCTCAATTAGATGGAGACTGCCTGGTGAGTGGGCATTTGTAGCTGCACCTATCTAATACTACAACACTGAGGCAATTCTACCTTGAAGGATGAGTTTACCGGGCAGAGATGAAATACAGTGGTAAGACAGTGGAAATGACATACCCCACATCCAATTCTTGGAAGTGATTCCAAAGCCCCCTTTTTACCAGGTGACCCCATCTTCAAGGCTTCTACACACAGTTGTGCAAGGTGTACATTGCATTATTCTATGAAGAGGTCTTGCCTCATCATTCTGCCCAGTCAGTTTCACTTTCTGAAGAATTTGAAATAAGAGATACAAAGACTGAGGTAAACAGCAGTCACTGGAGTTGTCAGGTTCTACAGAGGTGGGTTCAGAGTTTGCACAGTGGAAGCTCAAAGGCAAAAAACATGCATAGGCAATACAGGGTTGACAAACCACATGATGTGGGGAGGCAGAAATGAAAAGGCCATGGGTCAGAACAGACTTGAAGGCAACTGGTTTGGCCTTTTTTTGGGTGGGTGGGCAGGGGTGGTTTAAGAGAAACCAGTTCACAGAGAGAGATAAAGTGAATGCACAGATGTGTGCATGTAGTAAGGAAAGAGGAAGAGGGACATACAGACAGAGAGGGAGAACAGAAAACAAGGAGTAGGGGACCGGGACAGAACTAAACACAGAAAGGGGGAAGGGATCCAGAGCCAGTCAAACAAAGAAAGACACAGAGAAAGATTAGCTGCCAGGTGACTTTCTAGATCCACAATGCCCAGCTATACTTTCTGCAATTAAGTTCCAAACTTCTCATTCTTTTTTAACAACTCCCCTTTTACAAATCATTTTAGGTGGATTTCTGATTTTTGCTATCAGATAATTCTTGATCTCAGCAGCTACTTCATGAACAATTTGCTACAAAACTGTAGCTGCAATTAGTATTGCCACTATAGCAGTATGTATACATACTGCCTAACATCACTGAGGCATTGTGAAAAAGGTAAGGTTCTCAAAGGAGAGGCACTATAATTTGTAACATCTTAACTACTGCCCAAAGACAGATCTGGTTTTATACAATAGTTATAGCTAACATTTACTGAGCACTTCCTTTGGGACAGTGTTGCAAAAGCTGAGCATGTATTAATTCACCTATTCTTTGTAATAACCAATGGAGTGGGTCTATTAGTATCACCTCCACATATAGACAAGGAAAATGAAGCACAAAAAGAGTTTAAATAACTTACTCAAGGTCACATAGCCAGTAGGGGATAAAACTGGAATCTATGTACAAAACAATCTATTGTTTGTTTACATTAAAATTGTCTGACATTTGAAAAATTAAAAAAAAAAAGTTTTTGCATTTAAAATTCATTTCAGTTAGTAATTTTTTTTTGAATGACTATTACATGCAAGGTACTGATTTAAACTAATAAATTGGTAGGCTGGTTACATATGTAAAGTCCTTTTAAATGTCACTATCAAAATAAATCTTCCTTTCTGTGATCCACAAATTAAAAAAAAAAAGCACTTTTAAATTAAGTTTTTTAATTTCCAAAATACCTCCTTTATAACAGAAGGGAAAAAAAAATTCTGTAGTGCTATTTTCAGTGTATTCACTATTTCTAAACTCAATGGAATATTTGAAGATTACTGGCTACAAGTTGAACTCATCTGAAAATAAACCTTAACTTCACAGGGAAGTCTACATTGATAATTAATTACAGTGTAAGTTACACAGATGTATAAAAAGGGTAAAATGACAAGGATGAGAGGAGTTTTTCATGGAAGGTGGTGAGTTGCCATGGACTCTGCTTCTCTTGATTTTCTGAGCAGGGCTTGTTTGAGGGCACTAATCTTCTCATCAAGTTCAGCCAGTGAATAGTTCTGCTGTAAATAATAAGAACACAAACTGCTGAATAAGACTCTGAAGTGTCTTCATGCAGATAAAGTGCTAAATGAACTATAAACATTTAAAACAATCAAAGAGCATGGTAAAATGTTTTCTTCCCCCCTCATGAGGATATTTTTAGGTGGAACAACTATATATGATGACCATATCCTAAATGTAAAAGCACAAAAACATTTTCTTTCTTTCCTAATAATTAAGCTCTCCTGGACCTTTTGTAATTTGAAAGGATCACAAAGACTTTTTTTTAACTGATTATTAAATTGATAGTAAAAAAATTAAACTTTAAGATTAGTTTAACTGCTTAAAATATCTAGATATTCTTTGTTGATGGACCAACTTCAATTGATTGCTTCTCCTGGAAAAAACTGCTGCTCTCAAAAATTTACAGTAAAAAAGAAAAAATACTACTCTTAAACAATAAACGAGCCCAAGACAACTTTTAAACTAACTTTAAATTTACATTACCACCATTAAAGGCTAGCAAAACCCTCCTGATTAAGATTCAATTATTCAATAAAGTGTAGTACTTTGGACAGAGGTGGGCTGAAGTCAACCTCTGCCAAATACGGAAACTTCCTTTACTTCTTGTTGTGTGCTGTTGAGTCAATTCTGACTCATAGTGACCCTACAGGACAGGACAGAACACCCTCATAGGGTTTCCTAGGCTGTAATCTCTATGGAAGCAGGTTGCCAGGTCTTTTCTCCTGTGCAGTGACTGGTGGGTCTGAACTGCCAATCTTTCCGTTAGCAGCTCAGTGCTTTAAAACACTGTGCCACCAGGGCTCCTTCATCAAGATTCAAATATGTAATAAAGTGTAGTACTGTGGACAGAGGTGGGCTGAAGTCAACTTCTGCCAAACACATTTTTTTTTACTTAGATGCTGCTAATTAGTAGTGTTGGCAAAGTGGGGGGAAGGGTTGTATTACTTGAGCACTTATTATTTTTAAGCATTTTGAAATTGCTACATTCTTTTTTCTTACTGTGTTTTAGATGAGCAAATTAGTTTCTCATTAAACAATTAATACACATATTATTTTGTGACACGGGTTGCCAACTTCATGACAACATGTCAACATTCTCCCCTTCTCAGCCTTGGGTTCCCCATTTCCATTTGTCCAGCTTTCCTGTCCCCTCCTGCCTTCTCACCCTTGCCCCTGGGCTGGTGTGCCCATTTAGTCTCCTACACATGGCTGAGCTATGTGTATTATTTATTTTTTATGGGCCTGTTGAAACTGATATATTCTAAAGCAGGGTAAAGACTTTTACATTTATTTGGCCGATCTGAATCACTCCACAGTCTTGCATCCTTGTAACAGAATTATGCATCTAATTCAAGTAAATTAATTTACGGTGTCCTTTTACTGAGTCCTAAATCCAGGGTATGAACTGAAGTAGAAACTTTTATTAATGTGAAAGGTATAAAACTTATCAAACTATTTCAGAAACCAAACTAAAAATGCAGTAACTTAACTTACTTGAGGTGGTTGAACTTTCCTTCTTTTTCCAGAAAAGTTCTAGATCAAAAGTAAAAACAATGGTTAAGTAATCAATGCTTACAAAATGTAAGCATCAAATTTTCTTCATAGACTACCAAATACAGAGAGCTTTTGAGAATGGTGACAGAAACAAAGCACACAAACTTACCAAGCACTGCCTCAACTGACATCTAGCTGCTTATGTTCTGACAGACTCCAAAGATGATATAAATGTATGTAGTAGTAACATTACAGCAACATGCTGTTCTTGGTAATACGTATAGTAGTTTTCAATTAATTACCAGCTTCTAATGGGGATGAGTGATTGTGGAAACAGGTGCTCTGGGAATATTTTAGTTTCCTTCTTTTTTTGTAACTATCCTAGTATAATGAGTAAGTGAAGCAGCAATAGAAAAAGGAAAAGAGAATTTGGTATACCAAACGGTGAAAACACACACACACACTCCCATACTCAGACTACAGTGGCATTGTGGTCTTCTATGCAAGCAGCTACTGGAATGCTGATCCAATCCCAAACGACTGGCCTTATCAGTGACTGGAATGGGCATGAGCCCGATTCTGGTTAATTAGTAAGAAGTCTGCTGGAGGGGAGCTTCTGGAAAAAGTTTCCTCACTCCTGAGAAAGCCCTCAGAAGAGAACACTTCCCTTTCTCTGGACATAGCTGAATATGGACAGGACATCTAAGAGTGCTGTAGCTGTCTTGACATCTGCCTAGGGAAGAAGTCAACACCAAGCAGAACTGAGAGAGGAAAGCACCCAAGTCTTTGACAACCATGATTTAGCCAATGAATCAATAAACCCCGAAGACTGAACCTGCCGTTGGACTTCCTATTTTAGAATTTCCATACTGCTTAAGCCAGTGTGAGCTCAAATTTCTATTACTTGAGGCTGACAACATTCTCACTGACAAGCTGCTGGGCCTTTCAAAATTTGATCTAACGAGCTCTTTCTAGATCGTGTTCTTAGTTTCACACCACCACAATGTTGGAACAGCAAACTAATAAATCAGATACAGAAACTGAAGCTAGATGGCAGAATTTTCTCATGTGCATCTCTGACCATTGAGACGTGAGTTTATTAAAACTCACATTTCCCTTTGTGTCAAAAGGTGATTCAAAGACAATCGAGGTATTCCTCTTATCAGAAGTTATAACAAACGGGAAATCACTAAGTCTTGAATTTTTAAACATGGAAAAAGAGCTTAGGCAAATATGCTCCTTCCTTTGCTGGATACCTGTGGTGGGGCCTATGGGCAGAAGGGCTTAATGTTTAATGTGGTCACTACTCAGTCTCCTTTCCAAAGAGGTGGCTTTTTATACACCTGATGAAAATACACTCCCCTTGTTCTCCTAACAGTTTAAGCTACAAAATACTCCATGTCACTGAACAATCAGATTTTTACTGTACCAGGAAGCCAAAGACAGAAATATCAGAATAAGAAGGATAAGGACATCAATGACTTAAACTGTGATCTTTGGGGTTTACTGTAGGGCTGAACAGATATTTTGACACATCTATTGTGGATATACTGGACTAGCTTTAAAATTTATTTCTTAAGTATAAGGAAATCTCGGTATAAAATGTAAGAACTTTAATAAGCTTTGGTAACTGAGAGAAAATAATCTGAAAGCACAGCAAACTAAAGGGACAGCTAGACAGAAAATTCAAAAATTTCTCTTCCATTATTTTACTTTAGCATGTAATTTATAGTTACATTTATAATATTTGTGTCCTGATGAAAAGGAAATTAAAATGCACACACACAAACACACAGACAGGTCCAGGGAACTCCTGCTTTAAGGAAACTCGAGAGTAAGGAGGTCTCTTCCATGGCCAACCCCTTCTCACTTCTAATCAGTGGCAAAGGGCCACTGATTCGATGGATGCAGTGTCTTAAATGTTTTTTCCTTTCTAGTCCCAGTGCCCCAATCCAGGCCTTCGTTTCTCTCTGGCTTGGACACTGACATGTTTCCTAGTTTCCTTGACTCCAACTTCTCTCCAACTCAAGACTTCATAATGCCTGCTACTAGACAGGGACCTTAATTACAGGTTTTTCTCTCTTCCTCAAAAACTTAATTGTGCTCCGATGTCACTGCAAGTACAAATTGCATAATGTGACTTTCATGGTCCTCAAAATGTGCTTAAATCTAATTTTCCAGCCTGATCCACCTTCTACCTCATGCTTCAGGCCCACCATGCACTTTCATACACAGACAGCCTGTGCTCATGATGTTGACTTGGCCATCAGTGCTTCCCTCCCACCTTACATCCTCTTTAGAACCAGGAGTTACCATTACAGATTAGAGTGAAAATGCCACCTGGTTAGTTCAAAAGTCCAAGAATTAACTATCCACCAAGTCCTATCTGTTCATCTGCACATTTATTTGGTACCTACTAAATTCTGTGTGTTCAAAGGTAAACAAGACACAGCTCCTACCCTTGACAGGTTCAAAATGTACTGTGAAAAGCAGATATATAAACAAATAATTATAAGTGATAAGTGTTAGAAAGTGAACAAAGTGCTGTGGAAATACACTTGTGAAGCATGTTACACTTTCTGTTTTCAAGTGTCGTAATTTAAAATAAGTAATTATTTGGAAATACTCACAAAGATCATATCCTTAAAATGGTTTGTTAAGCTGTGTCCATGAATTTTGAAAACATTACCACATTTAAATCTCTGTTTAATTTAAGGGTGAAGATATTTCAACCTAATACATTAAAAGGTCCAACAATTACTAACCTCTGTCATAATTCCTGTTTTATATATATTAACATTTTTTGGAGTTTTATGTCTGTTTCACAGAATGAAAAGAATTTTAATCTGGCTTTGTTTTATGAACTAAATACAACTTGAATCTTTTTTCTTTAATGTTTCCCTTTTCATGTTATGCTTCAATGTTATCCATGATGATAAATCTCTACCCAACTGTCAGAAGCTCTGCCATACTTACAATTCGTGTATATGTGAATCTGGATAAACACATTTTAACAAAAATCTTTTCAGAGTTCAGAAGTTCAATTTCCAACAAAAGTTCAATACTTAAAAAATTTAATGGGCCCAACTTTCCCTTACTTCCTAACTTAAGAAGCTAGAGGACTATACTACATGTGTAGTCTCTCCTGTCCACGTCTGAAGGATATCGACTATTATGCATTACCACGTGAGGATGGCAATAGTGCTGAATAATGTGCTATGTCCTCTATAGGGTGTGTGTTCAATTCCTCTCATGTGCAAGGACAATCCTAGAGATCGCTCCATTCCAAGCGAAGAGTATGGCTCCTAGAGATGGCTCATCATTCTATTATGGAAAGGTGAGGGCGAAATTGTTCCCTTTGGGCCTGTGCCATATATATTTATACACCTAAAGGACAGTCAGTCTGAATGTTTAAACCTTTTCAGTGTTTTGTGCTTCCTTGTACTCACTATTAATTTGGATATGTCACTTCTAATACTAATCCACAAGTGATTTTTCTAATCATATACACATTAGCAGTTTTAACAGATTTGGAAATACTCTTTTAAAAAAAGCACTAGTTTTATCAGATTGTCATTATCCATCCTTTTATGAATGACTAATATATCCAGGATGAGTCTCTGTTTACACTTACAATGCCTCCTGTCCCTGAAGTTAGGCAGTCACCAAGGTTCAGACATCAGGCCTCTGACAGTCTCAGTGTTCTTACCCACTATCTCTACCGCGTAAAGGTTTAACTATCACCTCTACACAGACACTCCCAATTATCTCATGTCTAAGTCCTGTATCTCTGATATTTCTATCTGCATGTCCTGCGATGACTTCAATTCACATTTCTTCCCAAACAACTCTCCCTCCAGATTTTCTTGTTTCTGTCAATGATGGCATCTAATGGTATCATTTTCCCAACCGGAAACCAGACTCCTCCTTGCTCTCTATCAGTTTCTATACCCAATCAGTCATCAGTATATTTGTCCAGTTTTCTTTCCTATCGTCTCCCGCATTAATCTTTTCTATTCCCACTCTCCTGCCCCTAGGTCAGGATCACACTTCACATCTGCACTAGTATAATATTGTCTCCTTGTCCTTACTCTGTCCCTTTCGTCTATCTCCCACACTAGTATTAAACAAATCTTTCTAAACACAGCTTTCACAAGTCCTTTCCCTGCTCAAAAGCTTTCAATAGTTCCCCCCTGCCTGGAGAGTAGACTTTAAACTTCTTGGCATAGTATTTAAGGTCCTCTAAAATCTAACTACTACTATCTTTTTAACCAAATACTCTAACCTATGTATAACAGATCCCCCAAAAATAATATTATGATTTGAAGGTCATGTTCTTTTGTTAATCAAGTATAGTAATAGTTTTATGTTAAGCTTTCATAAATTAGAATTAGAAAAGAGATTTAACAAGGTATGAATTTAACTACAAAAATAAGTTTTCCTAGGGATTACTTAATGAAAAGAACTTGAATGTGAAAAACTGAATGTTAGATTGTTGCAGGAAAAGCCATAAAATTTTTGTAACATTTTCTAAGACATTCAAAGATTAATAAAATCCTAAAAGTGGAAAGACATTTGTAATTATGTAGTCTAACCAACAAATTTTCTAAAATTAGACAACTGAAAGGCCAGAGGAATTCAGTGACTTATCTACATTTATATGGCTATTTCACAGATGGTTTTGGAAACTAAATAAATGAAAATAGCTAGTACTTTACTATTTACTTATTGTGCTAAGTGCTTGGTTAGTATTATCTCATTTAATCCTTGCTTCAGTCCTTAGTAGTTTCAAAGGCCTCATTTGACATACCAGCGAAGTAAATCACTAAAACCCTTTCTCGGAGTTTCTGATATTTAGGACTGGCTGCCCACTTGTTATGTGACTTGCCTTCTTCCTCTGGAAATACTTCTTTTCTGTACATCATACCAATCTATGACTTTGGAAAGATTGTTGCTATACCTAAAATGAATTTTATATATATTTTTGCCAGTTGACTTATATAAGTCCATGCTAATATGAGCAGGGAAACAACTTTCTGTAATTTTTCAGAAATAAGAATCTTAGTAAAATCTCACTTTTACATTATAGTTCTAACATGTCATTGCTAAAAAAAAAAGAAACCTCAGAAAAGGCAGGTGTTACATATAATCACCTCAGAAGACTGAGGAAAATAACACAAGGAGCTCAAGATTGCTTGTCTAAAAACTGTGCTGTGCCAAAGAAGATATTACCAAGCACAACAGTGTCTTAATGTCCTTAGAAAAAGAGGTAAGAATGAATCAATGAATGCATAAAATGCTAGAATTGAGCAATTAGACAAATACAGAAGTCTTCGAAAAGGCTGGTGGTTAAGGTAAAGGACAAGGTAGGGTGGCAGCTGGAGGTGTTTGTTTGTTTAGTATGGAGAAATGTGAACATGTGTATGAGCTGAAGGAAGAAGTCTGTGAAGAGAGAGGGATTAAAGAGACAGAAGGTATAACTGACAGAGCAAGGTCCCAAAGGAAGCTTTTGTGTTACAAGATAGCAAGTTCACAGCGACAGAACTGACCACTATCCAGGATGACTTATGCCATGAAAATGTCTTAAGTTTCAGAATCTGGGTAATGTATAACAACAGTACCCTTACTTTAAAAATCATGAGTATGTAATATAATATTCAGGTAATCTCCCTGCATGAAACTGTGTTCATTCATCTCTGAATTATTAAAGCAGTGTTTTGCACACAGATCAGTGAGTGAATTGTTATACAATAAAGATTCCTAAAATAAGACTATATTTTTATTTATATTTTAAAGATACTTATACTCACTACAGCTTGAAAATATTCTGGAGAGATGCCTTCCAATTCAAGGATTTTATCCTCAAGTTTTTTAATTCTCTGATAAATGTCTCTTGGTACTGGACCACCTAAATACAAAAGAAATTTTGAGATACTATTGAATAATTTCCTCTCACAATTTTTATTCTTAAAATACCATGCAAAGACACTTACACAAAGGAATGGAAAATATTTAAACTTAAGAAAATTAATGAACAAAAGTAAAATTGCATGAAATCATTAGTTTACATTTTCATATTGTACCCTATGGGACAGATTTATTTTATATCTTCTCCCCAAAACCAAAAACACCAAACCCGTTGCCATAGAGTCGATTCCGACTCATACCTCCTCCCCAAGCCTCATTTATACTTCCTATATCGAAAGGCGTTTTGTTTTCTGTTAAATTCATTTTATAAGATATTGAAATCGTTCCTAGATAGAACAATTTGTATTTCTGATAGGCTTTGGTAGTTACCTGGGAGGAGAAAAACGCATAGTGACAACCGACAATTCAGTTCAGTGGTTGCAATATGTCATATTTTCCTCAACTTATATTTCTCCCCATATGCCTCACTTTTCCTTCAACTTGGAAAATGTTAAAAAGGGCTTTTGACGGGGGAAGGCAGATGGTAAATTAAGATCACTCAAATTTCAAGTTTATGATTATATCTAGAATCCTTTCATTTCTCACCACCACCACTGTGACCATTTGGGACCAGACCACCATCTCCCACACGACCATCACAACATCCAAACGGGTCTTCTTGCTTCTGCCTTTCTCCCAAAGTCTATTCTCAACGCAGCAGACAGTGATCCTTTTAGAATGTTAAGTCAGATCATGTTACTTCTCTGCTCAAAACCTTCCGGTACATTCCCATTTCACTCAGACTTAAAAGCCAAAGCTCTTACAATGGTCTATGTGGCCCCACACAATCTGAACATTCTCCTCACACTCATGTTGTTCCAGCCACTCTATTCTGTTACTCGACTAGGCCAAGCTTTAGCACTTGCAGCTCCCTCTACCTCCATATTCCCAAGGCTTGCTGTTGTCAACTTCAGGTCTTGGCTCAAAAGTTACCTTATCAGTAAGGCCTTTTCTGACTAAAATCCACTGCCATCGAGTTGATTCCAACTTACCAGTCCTACCACCTGGCACTCCCTGCCCTCCTTATTTTTCTCCATATCATTACCACCACTCGACCTTCCGTATATATTTTATTTATTGTCTATTTTCCCACCCTAATGTAAGAACAGCGAGTTTTACCAATTTGTTCGTTGGGTATGGCTGTGCAGTTTGGGCACCGCACAAACCTAGGACATTCAGATGTTAGTTCACAGACTACAGTGCCTGGCACATGGCAGGTACTCAGTATTTACTGACTGAATACATGATTAGACACTCACTATGTAATTAAAGAATATGGGCACATTTTCCTATCAAATGTTTCAACTCGACTTGTTAAATATAAAATTCTAGAAATAAGTTTTTTAAGAATGTGTATTTTATCTCAGGACCTTGTTTTTTCTTGTTCTGGAATATGGTAAAATGAATAATTTATCCATTTGACTTTTCTCTTGCTGCGCACTTTGCCTAGAATGCCCTCTGCCTCATCTCTGTACCTTTTAAGACCCAGTTCAAGCTTCACTGTGTCAATGAAGCGTTGCCTGAACCTCTTCACGTGGAAGTTCCTTTGTCCTCCCACCACACCCTTCCTTCACAGTCCCTTTAACATGTCACTTCATTATTACTATGCCTCTCTCGCCTACTAAACTACAAATTCCTTGAAGCCAGAGACTGTAACTACATCATTTTAGTATCCCTAATACCTAAAACAGTGCTTGGCACATAGCAGGCATTCAACAGATACTTGTCAAAAAAATTAACTACTTCATACTACTAGAAACTTAATAAATCAAATGATTTATATAGTTACATTTTAAATTCATCTACTTCTGGGGGAGGGGATTAATTTTTAGTGCTAATCTCTCATTACCCTTGAAGACTTACTCATTCTCTTATCTTCCTCCAACTCCATCCAGCAAACACTCCAGCTAAACTAGACTCAGATATTCCCAGAACCATATTTTGTGTTCCTGTGCTTTTTGCAGATTCTGTTCCCTTTTTGGAATGTTTTTCTCCTGCCTGCTGGAAAATTACTACTAATCCTCCAAGGTCTCATATGTCATTTCATACCATCCCTTGACCTCCCTGAGGTCTCTGTGTCCTAACTTTGTGTCTCAAGTGTACTTTGCAAATATCTGAAAAGGTGAAATGAGCAACAGTTCATTCAACAAACATTTGAGCAGTTGCTTTGTGCCAGGCACTGCAATGGGCACAAAGTAATGAACATGACAGACACAGGCCTTACTCTCACAGACCTTACTAGCTACAGGGAAGACAGACATTGAGAAAACAGAGCTGTGATAACTGTTATAAAGGAGGGCAGAGAGTACCAGGTGTTATGAGACTATATAAAGGGGAACCTCCACTGGTCTGGAATGAGGAAGGAAAAGCATGGGTAAAGGCTAAGACAGCAAAATGAGCGGGAGGTAAGAAGCCCAGAGATGTGGCTAGAACTACAGGTATGGGTCATGCTATTTAAAATTGCAACCCCCTCCCACCCCAATCTCCTTTCCCAGCTCTTGGTCAAGCTGCTTCTATCCACAGCCCTTCTCCTCTAACATACCATATAATTTCATTATTTATGCCACCTGGCTCCCCCAACTAGAATTTTTGTTCAGATGTATTCTCAGCACCAGAAGAATGCCTGGCTTATGTAGTAGGAGCTTAATATCTATTTGTTGAACAAATGAATAAATACTAAGTTTGGCAGGCATTTAAGGGCAAGAGAAAACCATTAAAGACTTTTTAGCTGGGTAATAACGAGATCAGATTTGAGCTTGAGAAAAACCCCTCTGGCTATAGAATAGAGAAGGAAGTCTAGTGCTGAAGAGATCAGTTAATATCCTTCCATCAGTCGAAGGGAGAGACCACAGTGGCTTCACTAGAGTAGCAGCAGTGCAGGTAGACAGAAGTGGAAGATCTGAGATATTTAGATGACAAAATCAACAGGACCTGGTACTATCAGAAGGGAGATGCACATTTTGTAGCCAGCTAAGATGAAGGTTTGAATTCCAGTTGTCACTTACTACCTTGGGTATGTAGCTTGAGCTATGTGAACTTCAGTTTATCTGTACAATGATAATAGCACCAACACCTCAGAAGGGTATTACCAAGTATTAAGTGAGCTGACACATGCATAATGCTTTCAGAGTGGCTGGCATTTAGTATTGTTCAATAAATGTCAGTTCACTGCACCTCCAGCATTTATTTATTCATATGCTTAATTTCACTGAGACATTCTTGAGGACTAGGATCACATTTCTCAACACACTGTATCTAGCACAGTGGGTGGGTGATAAGAATGAGAAGTGGTCATGGTAAGTTATGAAACTGGTAACAGGAAAAAGACTATGTTAGTTTTCCACTGTGAATTCAATACATTGAGAATATCAGGATCTATGTGGAACTCGCTCCCATCCTAACAGTGCTCTCTCAATTTGAGAAAGAGAGAGTGAAAGGAAGAAGAGCATAAATAAGAACTGTAAATTCCTTGAAAGCAGGGACAATGTTTTATTCATTTTTATAGCAACTAAAACAATGTTTTGTACATGACAGGTGTTCAATGACTATTTGGTGATTAAATGAACTGGAGTTTCTTTAACTACTTGCAAAGGTACATTATGGGGCACCACCTAGCACTTGGCTTACCTGTCTGCAATCGCAAGTGAGCCTCAATATTTTGCAGTCGTTCTTCTACAGCCTGATTACCACAATCGCGAAGCATGCTGTTAGGGTTATGACCTGACCCTTGAACTCCTTCAGGTCTAGTCTGTGGTCCATATGTATTCACAACTCTAGAAACTAAGGTAAGAAACTTCTGAGCTTATGTAAATTTGCATTTCAAAAATCAGAAATTCTCTCTCCCTAATGTTATTGCTGTTCTGTGCTGTAGAGTCAATTCCGACCCACAACAACCCTACTGGACAGAGCAGAACTGCCCCACAGGATTTCCAGGTCTTTTCTCCCACAGAGCGGCTGGTGGGTTCAAACCACTGACCTTTCAGCTAGCAGCCAAGTACTTAACCATTGCACCACCAGGGCTCCTAACAGTATTTTGTATTCTTTTCATAAAGACCATCTAACCACAAACCCAGGAATAAAGAAAAGCAAGATTTATTTTGTTTTAAAATAAAAAGAAACTATTCCATTTTGCTAATAATCTAGAATAAGCTTCTGCCAGTGATGATGATATCATGTTGTGTACTTACCCTTTACATGACTTTTAAATCCAGGGTAAGGGGTAAAAACGGCATCAGTTCTTGCACAACTATTTTCTGTGGAAAATTTAGATAATAATTTTAAGTATATTCTTAACTTCACATGACTGAGACTTTGATAAACTTCCAATGGTTCATATTAACATAATACAATATGAGAATATAATTTTAAGTAATAGTAATTAAATGGTCATCATCTACAAGATAAACTTTAGTGACTTCTTCTGCCCTCTTAAAACTTATTATATCTAATCTTCTTATCTAATTTTCAGATTACATACACGAAAGCCTCGAAATTTAGTGACATCGTTTAATTTTTAATGAAAACCAGTATCTCTAAAAACCATCTTGACCTCTGGAGAAAATAATTTATATATTATAAGAATATTTTAATTATAAGCCAAAGACATTATACACTTCACTTCATCTAGAACAGAACTCATTATTTTTACTGAAATAGCTTTTTTAAAAATCCAGCATCTTTGATATTACTTGCTGATCAAACCAGTGAACATCTAACAAAAACTACATATTTAGTACCTTTTTATTTCAGAACTCCACACAAAAAATATTTTGAGACCTCAATTATAACATACCTTCCCATTTTACCTAGACTTCCAATGGTCACTTAAAAAATCCCTAACCACAAAAGCTGTCTACCTCGGTCCATCCTACCCCTTTCAAAAAACTCCAATTTAGGAAAGAGATGTTGTGAAAATTTGTTCCATTTTTTCCCCAAGCTGAATAGTGAGTTTTTTCAAATTAGGTATCAATAAGTAAGTTTATATAAAGTTCATAGAAGAAAAAAATAGGACCAACACTTTAGCCCTTAATACATGGCATTAACAGGATACACACATAATCATCAATGCACAAAACCCAATAGATAAGCTAGATAACTGGGATCTTCTAAAAATCAAACACCTATGCTCTTCAAAAGACTTCACCAAAAGAGTAAAAAGAGAACCTACAGACTGG